ATGGCCATGCTGCAATCCCTTCTCCACCATTCTCCTCTCGGGATCTTGGGCACGCACACAAACGGACCCGGCATGAGTTTAAGCCACCAGGTCCGGGACGTGAACCGCCGTCGACTGCATGGGAGTCCAGCAACATAGCCATTACGCTAACTACTGGTCCCCAGACTGTTCTTTTTATGAAGTATAAATAGCAACAATTTTTATTTTAAAAATGAGTTCCTCCCACACCCCAGAATTTCCCTAGTTACTTCTTTCATGTTATATATGCCTTGTGTTAGGTTAAAAAATGTTATTAAAATTAAACATTATAATATATGTAAATAATAGCAAAAGTAATAGCACTAATCTGCATTGCTTCCATGTCTTACAGTCATTCCTGATAAGGGGCGAGCACCAGCTTCTTGAACAACATTTCCCTGCAGGGTGGCGTTCATCTCCAGTTCTAGCTTTCCTGCATTTTCTGCTTTCCTTTGGAGTTCTTATGTGAACACCTGCCCTCCCTGTGTCTTATCTTTGTGCTCACACTCTCTTCCCTAAGTAAAAGTTGTTTCCAGCTTTTTGTCTGGAGAGCTCCTCTTCTGTATTTTACCTCTTTAATATAAAGCCTTTCTTGTGCTTAGAGACAACCTTTTCATAGATTAACTCATGTGTCAATTTGTACCTTTTATCTCTTTTTTGAAGCTGAGGGTATACATTTCCTTTAATATAATTGATGTTTCCTAATTGTTTTTAAATTAGTAAATGAATTAAAATGGGAAAGATTTTTTTTAATTATCTTTTGTCAGTATAATTATTAGAAACCAATGGGTTTTTTAACACATTTTTTCCAAGTAGCAGATCAACTTTGCTTGAGAAGGATATAAAGAAAAATAAAAGTAAGAAGTGTACCTCAAAAAATTATAGTGTTATACGAGTGTTGGAGACTGATTCATCTTCTGATGGTCCACCATGCGTGAATGCTGACAACAGTTTACGTGAAAGAAGTCTGGAAGGAGAAAGGTAAACATCTGTAACTTCTTGATTCTCCTGTGAAGGAATATTTGCAGTGGTTACTTTTCCTATAGATAAAACCAGGTCACACAAGACAAAACTTAAGTCTTGATGCTGTTGAAAAGTTGACAAAAATGAGAGCAGGTGTCCTTGATATGGACCAGTTTCAGTAATTTCCAGGGAAGCCTGACTTTGAGGTAAGCAGAGCCATCTCCTTTGAGAATTTTTAATGGTAGAGGCAAGAGAGTACTTGGTGATAAATGAAGAATGTGGGATTCCAAGAAGTTTTCTTCCTCTTTTTTACTCTTAAAACATGCTTCTAGACAAGTTTTTATGCTGTTGGAAATGATCTAACAGAGAAGGACATGTTTATTCTATTTAAATTTGTTCCACTGTCTTAGTATTAAAATGTTTAAAACAAGATCTTTTTTCACATTTACAGTAAACTTAATTATTGTACTTAAAAGTCTTTTTCATGTATAGTTTCATGTAGGAGGGCATTCATTCAAAATTTAAAAGTCTTTTTCATATATAGTTTCATGTAGGAGGGGATTCATTCAAAATTAGTTCAGAAAAGAATATCCGGATGTACTTCAACATACAAAGGATGACTTAAAAGTGAAACTTTTGGAGCCAACTGGTCGCCTAGTGGATAAGGTGCTGGGCTATCACATGCCCCACTGTGGCTTGAGTCCTAGACCTGGTGGCTTGCTTTCTCACTGTCCCTTTCTGTCTGTCCCTAGTTTAATTAGAAAATAATAATAGATACAATTAAACAAGTTTTTAAAAAGTTAAACTATTATACTTGGATTTAAAAATTTTTCCATAGAATTTTGTGTTATGGCACATGAGCTCACTAGTAAGAGAGAGGGACAGAGACAGAGAGAAGGTGAGAAATCCCCTCCACGGGGACAAGTATGCTACAATTCTTTTTCTACCATTTTACTCCTTGGTTCTTGGGCATGCATGAACATGTGCCCAGCTTGATTTTCAAGCCTGTTGGTTCAGCACTCGACCTGTGATCAGCCATGTGGAAATCTAGCAAGTAACTTCTATGCCATCTGCTGGCATCAGAGATCATTTTTTAAAACATGTAGTAATAAAAACACAAACACTTAAGGAAGACTGAATAGATTTTCACCCCTACTTATAGGGCATGTGTCCTCTCCAGAGTAAGAGAAGGGTGTGGTGGGTGAGAAACATCCTGCAGGGGGGAGGTCACACTGCAGTCCCTTCTATTACAGTCTTCTCTCAGACATTTTGGCAAGCCCACACTCATGATCAGTGTGTGCTTCAAGTCACCGGTATCAGGACTTGAACTGCACTGTTGGTTGAGATCCCATGCCTAAACTTCCACAACACCTGCGGGCCCCCAGGCTGAATGAAACTGAATCCTCCTTGATGAGTCTATGTATTAGAGTACCTTTGACAGACACTGATTACAAATAGCTGTGACTTCTTAAGATACTCTAAAATATCAGTTCTATCTACCCAGTAGTTGTTTAGATTCTGGTGAAATTATAGTTGAACAGATGAATGTCTGTTGATGCATTTCTTCATATCTATAAAGTTTTGTTTCCAAAAAGAATTACTGTTATTTGCTATAAGGTGGATGCATTCACAAGAGAGAAACACAGCTAGAGAGAGAAAGAGAGAGGGACAGAGAGAGGTAAAGTGAGAAACTGCCCCCTTCAAGGGGGTTGACTACATTGTAATCCTGTCTCCTCTTGGTATGCATACTCATATGCCTGGTGGGATAGTCAAGGCACTGGTCTGGGACTCAGACACAGTCATCCATGTGCGATCCAGCACTCTAACCTCCATTCCACTACTGGTTCATCTAAAAAAATATTTAATGAATTCAGAAATTACTGTGTGTAATTTTAGGTAGAAATCGGATAGTCTTGGGACCAGGAGATGACAAAATGGTTATATCACTGGATTCCCATGTAGTCGAACACGGTTCAAGTCCTGGACCCGGTGGATTAAACTCATGCCGGGAGCATGTGCGTGTGTGCCCATGATGCCTAGGGAAGAATAAAGAAGGGATTGCAGTGTGGCCATGCCCCCTGGAAGGTGGTTTCTCACTTTCTGTTTCTCTGTCTCTGTCTCTCTTTCTGGTGAGCACACACACCCTATAGCAAAAACGTCTCAGAAAAAGAAAAAGAAATTAGAATGTCTCATGAGTTCATGTGCTATCATATCACTTACGGGCACTTCAAAATAAACACTCATTGATACCGTAAAGCACATGTTTTGGAGGCCGAATTCCTGGGCTTGAATTCTGGGTGTGCCACAGACTAGCTGTGTAGCCTTGCAAATTATATTACTGGGCCTAGTTTTGTCCTTAATAAATACCCCATATGTTACCTAATTCACAGAATTGTTGTGAGGGTTAAAATGCCATTTGGGGACCAGAAGATGCTGTAATGGTTACATCACTAGACACCCACATGGCTAAATATGGTTCAAGTCCCAAATTGGGATGTTTAAAACTCATGTTGGATGCATATGTGTGCATGCCCAAAATCTTTTTTTTTTGGAGAGATTTTCACTGTAGGGCACGTGCGCTCGCCAGACAGACAGAAAGAGACATAGAAACAGAAAGTGAGAAATCACCCCCCAGGGGGGATGGTCACGCCGCAATCTCTTCTCCATTCTCCTCTCGGGATC